CCTGGTTTAGACCTGGTTTAGACCTGGTTTAGACCTGGTTTAGACCTGGTTTAGACCTGGTTTTAGACCTGGATTTAAATCTGGTTTAGACCTGGTTTAGACCTGGTTTAGACCTGGTTTAGACCTGGTTTAGACCTGGATTTAAAATCTGGTTTAGACCTGGTTTTAATCTGGTTTAGACCTGGTTTTGACCTGGTTTAAATCTGGTTTAGACCTGGTTTTGGAACCTGGTTTAGACCTGGTTTAGACCTGGTTTTAGACCTGGTTTAGACCTGGTTTTTAGACCTGGTTTAGACCTGGTTTAGACCTGGTTTAGACCTGGTTTAGTCCTGGTTTAGTCCTGGTTTAGACCTGGGTTAGACCTGGTTTAGACCTGGTTTAATCCTAGTTTAGTCCTGGTTTAGTCCTGGTTTAGACCTGGTTTAGACCTGGTTTAGACCTGGTTTAGACCTGGTTTAATCCTAGTTTAATCCTGGTTTAGTCCTGGTTTAGTCCTGGTTTAGACCTGGTTTAGTCCTGGTTTAGACCTGGTTTAGACCTGGTTTAGTCCTGGTTTAGTCCTGGTTTAATCCTAGTTTAATCCTGGTTTAGTCCTGGTTTAGACCTGGTTTAGTCCTGGTTTAGACCTGGTTTAGACCTGGGTTAGACCTGGTTTAGATCTGGAGATGGTAAAAGTTTGTTTAGATACACAAAGGGTTGGGGGTGAAATTCCGGGTCTGTGAGGAGCATAAATCGTCATTTGTTTCACCAAAATACATAAAATCCGTGTTTGCGAATGAACATAAACACAATCTTACACGTTCTTTTCTCTGTTTTATTTACACCAACCATCTCGACCCGTGTGTGTCCCAGTTTAGAGTCGTGAAAGTCTGGTCACCCTCTGCCTGCCTCTGTCCTGTTGTCCTGTACACAGTGTCTGATCAAACCCCAACCACAAACTTCACTCACCGCAAACTGTCACTCCTCTGTCCCTGAAACACACTCGTGTCCTCAAACCCAAGGACTGGTTTTACTCCTTTGTCAAGAGGCGAATAATTAACAAATAAAATCACTGCAACGACTGAAATATTGATGTTAGAGCCACAGACTGTTGGTCTTTATGGAAATGGACACAGTAAACAGGAAGTGAACATGGGCTCCATCGACTTTAATTCACTTTCAAATAGGGACGGGCATTCGGTTAAATTTTGTTAATTGATCTTAGTCAAATTAACAATTGATTTTTGATTAATCATTAACGTTTTTATATTAAAATGATCATCATTATTATTACTATCTGCACTAATCTGCATAAATAAATTCAACTTTACGACATATAAACATAACGACTCTAGATCCACATCAGCTGTTTGACATTATAATGTGTTTAATTCAGTTTTGTTCAAATCTCACAGAAACAAAACTTAAAACCACATCACTAATTTACATAAACTCAGTGAAGATAAAACTACAGCTGTACAATTGTTTTGATTTGTTTTGTTTTTAATATTATTATTGCTTTGTCTGGAATGTTCCACAGTGTGACATTAAACAGAAATGATAAATGACATTTATTCAATTACAGGCGGTTTTACAGCTCAAAAATACCTAGAAATCAGGACTAAACCAGAACTAAACCAGGACTAAACCAAGACTAAACTAGGACTAAATCAGAACTAAACCAGGACTAAAACAGGACTAAAACAGGACTAAACCAAGACTAAACCAGAACTAAACCAGGACTAAACCAAGACTAAACGAAGACTAAACCAGGACTAAACCAAGACTAAACCAAGACTAAACCAAGACTAAACCAAGACTAAACCAGGTCTAAAACCAGGACTAAAACCAGGTCTAGTTAGTTCTGGTTATCTAATCTAGAACTAAACCAGGTCTAAAATAGGTCTAAAACCAGGACTAAAACCTAGATCCACATCAGCTGTTTGACATTATAATGTGTTTAATTCAGTTTTGTTCAAATCTCACAGAAACAAAACTTAAAACCACATCACTAATTTACATAAACTAAGTGAAGATAAAACTCCAGCTCTTGTGTCGCTGATGTGGTTCAACTTGTGTTGGATTAAAAGACATGACTCAGGTGAATACAGGTCAGTGTGACCAGATTTGTGTTTGTCAAAACCAGGACAGCGTACGGGGGGAGGGGGGCGGGGCCTCGTCATCCACATTGAGCGACTCTCACCTGGAAAAACTTTTTCATGTTTTTCTGTGTCCTGATGCTTCGAGGTCCCTAATCCATGTTTCATTCATTCATTTGTTTTTTAATATAAAACCAAAAATAAGAAAACGAAAAATCAACTGTTTTCTTCATTATTTGTCTCTAAAACCAAAATGAAAAAACAGATAATGATTCGTTTTTTTCAGTTTTCGATTTTGTGTTTAAATGAAAAATAATGTGTGTGTAAATGTGTGTAAATGTGTGTAAATGTGTGTGTAAATGTGTGTAAATGTGTGTGTAAATGTGTGTAAATGTGTGTAAATGTGTGTAAATGTGTGTAAATGTGTGTAAATGTGTGTGTAAATTGTGTGTAAATGTGTGTAAATGTGTGTGTAAATGTGTGTGTAAATGTGTGTGTAAATGTGTGTGTAAAAATGTGTGTGTAAATGTGTGTGTAAATGTTTGTGTAAATGTGTGTGTAAATGTGGTGTGTTGTAAATGTGTGTGTAAATGTGTGTGTAAATGTGTGTAAATGTGTGTGTAAATGTAAATGTGTGTGTAAATGTGTGTAAATGTTTGTGTAAATGTGTGTGTGTAAATGTTGTGTGTAAATGTTGTGTAATGTGTAAATGTGTGTAAATGTGTGTGTAAATGTGTGTGTAAATGTGTGTGTAAATGTGTGTGTAATGTGTGTAAATGTGTGTAATGTGTAAAATGTGTGTAAATGTGTAAATGTGTGTGTAAATGTGTGTGTAAATGTGTGTAAATGTGTGTAAATGTGTGTAAATGTGTGTGTAAATGTGTGTAAATGTGTGTAAATGTTTGTGTAAATGTGTGTGTAAATGTGTGTGTAAATGTGTGTGTAAATGTGTGTGTAAATGTGTGTGTAAATGTGTGTGTAAATGTGTGTGTAAATGTTGTGTAAATGTGTGTGTAAATGTGTGTGTAAATGTGTGTGTAAATGTGTGTGTAAATGTGTGTGTAAATGTGTGTAAATGTGTGTGTAAATGTTTGTGTAAATGTGTGTAAATGTGTGTGTAAATGTGTGTAAATGTGTGTAAATGTTTGTGTAAATGTTTGTGTAAATGTGTGTGTAAATGTGTGTAAATGTGTGTGTAAATGTGTGTAAATGTGTGTGTAAATGTGTGTGTAAATGTGTGTGTAAATGTCTGTGTGTAAATGTATGTAAATGTGTGTGTAAATGTGTGTGTAAATGTGTGTAAATGTGTGTGTAAATGTGTGTAAATGTGTGTAAATGTGTGTGTAAATGTGTGTGTGTAAATGTGTGTGTAAATGTGTGTGTAAATGTGTGTGTAAATGTGTGTGTAAATGTTTGTGTAAATGTGTGTAAATGTGTGTAAATGTGTGTAAATGTGTGTGAAAATGTGTGTGTAAATGTGTGTAAAATGTGTGTAAAAATGTGTGTGTAAATGTGTGTAAATGTGTGTGTAAATGTGTGTGTAAATGTGTGTGTAAATGTGTAAATGTGTGTAAATGTGTGTGTAAATGTGTGTAAAGTGTGTGTGTAAATGTGTGTGTAAATGTGTGTAAATGTGTGTGTAAATGTGTGTGTAAATGTGTGTAAATGTGTGTGTAAATGTGTGTGTAAATGTGTGTAAATGTGTGTAAATGTGTGTAAATGTGTGTGTAAATGTGTGTAAATGTGTGTAAATGTGTGTGTAAATGTGTGTAAATGTGTGTAAATGTGTGTGTAAATGTAAATGTGTGTGTAAATGTGTGTGTGTGTGTAAATGTGTGTAAATGTGTGTGTAAATGTGTGTGTAAAAAGGTGTGTAAATGTGTGTAAATGTGTGTAAATGTGTGTGTGTAAATGTGTGTGTAAATGTGTGTGTGTGTGTAAATGTGTGTGTAAATGTGTGTGTAAATGTGTGTGTAAATGTGTGTGTAAATGTGTGTAAATGTGTGTAAATGTGTGTGTGTAAATGTGTGTGTGTGTAAAATGTGTGTAAATGTGTGTGTAAATGTGTGTGTAAATGTGTGTAAATGTGTGTAATGTGTGTGTAAATGTGTGTAAATGTGTGTGTGTGTGTAAATGTGTGTGTGTAAATGTGTGTGTAAATGTGTGTGTAAATGTGTGTGTAAATGTGTGTAAATGTGTGTAAATGTGTGTGTAAATGTGTGTGTAAATGTGTGTGTAAATGTGTGTAAATGTGTGTAAATGTGTGTAAATGTGTGTGTAAATGTGTGTGTAAATGTGTAAATAAATGTGTAAATGTGTGTAAATGTGTGTAAATGTGTGTGTAAATGTTTGTGTAAATGTTTGTGTAAATGTGTGTAAATGTGTGTAAATGTGTGTAAATGTGTAAAAATGTGTGTGTAAATGTGTGTAAATGTGTAAAAATGTGTGTGTAAATGTTTGTAAATGTGTGTGTAAATGTGTGTGTAAATGTGTGTGTAAATGTGTGTAAATGTGTGTGTAAATGTGTGTGTGTAAATGTGTGTGTAAATGTGTGTGTAAATGTGTGTAAATGTGTGTAAATGTGTGTGTAAATGTGTGTAAACGTGTGTGTAAATGTGTGTGTAAATGTGTGTAAATGTGTGTGTAAATGTGTGTAAACGTGTGTGTAAATGTGTGTAAATCTGCCCCATCACCAAATCTTCAACCAACAAACTCCACAAAAGGAGAAACATTCCAACATGAACAATTTATCCACAACGATCAAGAGAAGAAAGAACAAAACTTAAAGGAAACAACGACGACGACGCTTTATTCAACTACTGAGCAAAACTAACATAACATTATTAAACCACCAACATGAACCACGCTCCCCACACGACTAAAATAATACATGAACAGTAGAGTTATAGAGTTTGGACTCACCACGGTGCAGCACAGGGGCCAGAACCACCACATGAGCGCCAGGGCCAAAAGCAGCAGCAGAACCAGGAACACGATCCCGACCACCAGCCCGTCCGACTGCAACACCACAGCAGACAGAAACCAGAGTTAAAGGTTGTATGCTCTGAAGGAACTACCTCTTCTCCTCGTCTTGAACTGTCCTCCTGTGAACTTCTACATGAAGACTCTGTGTTTTAAAACTTCTGGAGGAGATCTGAGGTCAGGTAAGACTTAGTCTACGTTCAGACTGCAGGGCTTAAGCTCAATTCCGATTTTTTTGTGAAATCCGATGTTTTTTCGAGGTCGTTCACATTTCCAGTTAAATGCGACTTGTATTCGATCCCCTGTGTGAACAGTAAACGGCCCAAAAGTGTCCCACATGTGACACTGGAGACACGACGACGTCAACCGCAGCGAGCGTCTCTGTGTTTACAGAAGTTGTCCAAACATGGACGCAGCATCGAGCACCTGGAGATTTTAAAGTTCCTCTCGTCCCGGAGCCAGAACATGAACAACTTACTTGTTTTAAGGAGGAGATTGAGAAGGAGAAGGACGAGGTTTTTGGTCGTGGTGTTTTGTGGTGAGTGGAGATGTGCTTCACTTCAGTCACATGGAGTTCATCAACAATTTTCTCCTACTTCAGCGCAGAATAGTGACGCTTGTGTAGGTGGATGAATGAGCTTTGGCCGTTCACACTGAAGTCACATGTCAAAAGATCAGATATGTATCGGTTTCAGGAGCACATATCCAAGTGTCCTGGGTCACATTTGAAAAAATCTGATCTGTGTGGTTCAGACTGTCATTAAAAGATCAGATACAGGAACATAGAGGCCAAAAAGTCTGACTTGGGTCACTTCAGGTGCAGACTGAACGCAGCCTAACACACTGGGATATATTTTGGTTTGTATCAATAAAGAAAGATCACACTGCTGCAGTATGTTTCCAGTCGATCAGACACACGCTCAGGTGATTTTCATAACTCAGTGTTGTCATTTTTCTCTGTCAATCAGTTCTACACAAGGTTTTAACTGAGACTAAACCAGGACTGGCCCAGGTCTAGATCCGCCTGCACTTGTCGGTGTGAGTCAGTGTGAGTCAGTGTGTGGTTCAGAGGAGATGTGTGACAGAGGAACTGGACTCACACAGCTGGTGGCGGTGATGGTGTAGGCGCTGGAGATGAAGGACTTCCCATTGTTCAGACTGATCAGAACGTCCATGGTCCTGAAAAAAGAAGAAGAAGAAGACACCAGAAAATACACGTTAGAAACAGAAACAGTCAAATACGCGTTAGAAACAGACAAACAGTGTCTCTGAGAAGTACAAGAGTCCAACGAGAAACAAAATCATAGTGTTGTTTTGTAGAACAGTGGACTGGAAACATAAATATGAGTCACATTACTTGAATTGAGATGTAAAGATATTTAATATAAAATGCTGAGATGTGAGGAAATTCTATTGGTTTCATTCATTTCCTGGAGGCTAATCTTAAACATAATCTTAAATGAATCCATAACTTCACTGTAGCCTCCTGGGACCTGGCGTCCACATCTGTGCACATATGTGTCCCAACACATTTTGGGTTGTTAATAGTTTTTGCAAATCTTTATTTAATGTGACTTTATTGTCCAAGAACCCCAGAAGTTGTAGACAGCGCACCGACCAATCAGCTGTGAGCTGTGAAGTCATGAGGTCAAACTGGTGGAACAACACAACAGTAAACAAAGTGTCGAGATGTAGACGAAGACAGACATTCTGTGTTGGCAACGATTCACGAGATCAAGGATTTAAAGCCGGAACAAAGAGAATGTTTGGTGAATTTTATCAAGGGGAAAGACGTTATTGTCCTTCTTCCTACGGGATTTGGTGCATTGGTTAAATTAAAAAAGTACCTGCCTACTGTCGAGCGAATGAATCCTAATACTGCGAGATCACACGGTTTCCACCAAGTGAAACCGTCTGATGAATCAGTCTAATCACCAGGTCCCGATCAGTCCAAATAACAAAGAGAAATCAATAAAGCCGCAAGAGTCCTGGTCTTAGGAGGTTAAACCATTTTTGGTTCAATCCCCACAGTGAATACACACACACACACACACTTTCACTTTCAGATCATTTGTCTTAAAGGTTGTATGGAGGATTTTTTTGTTTGTTTCAAATTGTCAATGAAAGTTTAAAATACCATTACAGAGACGCAGCAGCTTTGTAATTATAATGACCAAAAAAAAAAAGAAAGAAAATCTATCAACTGTGGACGTGTTGAGGCCAGATAAACATCAGCCAATAGAAAACGAGGCTGCCTCATTTTCTATTGGCTGTCAGGTTGTCAATCAAACTCCCTACGTTTCTAAGGTAACTATGCAGCAGTTCTTAGAGGCTTTTTCTAATTGTGGCTCTCTCGCAGTTCGCATAAAGTTTGTCGCGATGTCGGACGAGAATCGACGACCAGTTCGCCGCAAAAGAAAGTCGGTTTTTGAGGTCGGTGAAAGACGAAGAGAAGGAGAAAAGGAGCGAAGACAAACTGAGGTGATTCTTGGAGATTCCTTTCAGTGACTGCGCGACTGAAGCAGACAAAGAGTCTAAAAACTGAGGTGTCGGTCTCTAAATTATTTCTAGAGGCTGTGGAGGAGGAAGGTGGTGTCAAGGACTGTCGCTGGATTTCTCTTTCCTTAAAAAAATCCTCTATACAACCTTTAATTTGACATAATTTGAAAACAATGTATTATGATTCCATTATTTAGGAACCCATCGTGGCTCATCCATTAACATTAAAAGAACTGTATTTAACCGTTCAAATACAAACTACAATCCAAACTGAACCTGTGTTTCCAGAGCTTTAACCTGCAGATAGAGACACGTTTTGTTTTTGTTTGTTTTTTGCATTTGTCTCGTTCTCAGTTTCTGTTCAGGCCTCGTGTGAAGCTCAGAACCTCCAGAATTCCCTCCCCTGAGCTGTTTAAGAAATTTGAAATACATATTGTTGTATACTGCGCTTTTAAAAACCATGAAAAAAAAAGAAAATGGTCCAACACTGAACCTGCAATAGAAACAAGTTGTGGTATTAACAAGTGTCCACTTCTAATAAAACGCGCTCCTCCTCCTCCTCCTCCTCCTCGTCCTCCTCAGGGTTAATTAGAGTTGAGTGAATGAGAAAAAGCGAGAAAAAGAGAAAGAGAGGGAGTGTGGGAGTGGTCTGACGGAGGCCAAACGAGCTCCAATTAAAACTCTAATGATGAACGGCATCGCAATCTCCACACGTCCAACGCTTCCGAGACAATTAGAGAAAGAAAGACCCGGAGAGCCGACGTGATACAGAGAACACGGGAGCCGGAGGAGGCAACAGACAATTATACAAAACCGATATATTTAGTGATGTATAAATGTGTTTAGGCATCTTTTATTGTTATTCTGCCTCTTCAGGTCGTATTTACAGACAACAGGTCGGCCTAATGGCATTTTTGAATGACATTCTAGTCAGTAAAGTAAGTAAACTACAGCTATCAGCCTTTAGAGGTAAATGCGTGAGTAGCGGTAATTACTTATATACGTAAATGTCGATCATTCACACCTTGATTCACAGCTCATTTACAGATCAGTGCAGGTCCAGACACATGTACAGACACTAGAGTCACTTTACACGAGGGCAATGTAAGAAAACAGACTGTTTATGTTGGAACTACAGAGCTAAACGACGAGAAATAACCAAAAGTAGTTTCAATACTGACACATTTGCAACACTCGGTCTCACACGGGCTCCTCTCAGATCACAAGTCTGCACTAATAAGTTTGATAAAGACAGCAGTAGTTTTGTTTCTTTCCTAAACTGTGCTGAAGTTCACTTTTATTTATGGTCAGTCAGTATCATGGGTCAGACACAAGAGTGTTTAAAGATTGTATGGAGGATTTTTTTTTGTTTCAAATTGTCGATGAAAGTTCAAAATAGAATTAAAGAGATGCAGCAGCCTTGTAATTATGATGACCAAAAAAAAAAAGAATGAAAATCTATCAGCTGTGGACGTGGTGGGGGCAGATAAACATGAACCAATAGATAACAAGGCTACCTCTTTATCTATTGGTTGTTGGGTTGTCAATCAAACTCCTTACATTTCTAGCGTCACCGACTTGCCGGCGTGCGGGGATTACGTGGTTTACGTTCGCCTCTCACGCACTGATGCTGTTTACTCGACCAAAACAGCGGTTCTTAGCGTCTTTTTTGAACTGTAGCTTCGTCTCAGTTTGCACAAAGTGTGTTGTAACGGCGGACAAGAATCCACGACCAGTTCGCTGCAAAAGAAAGTCTGTTTTTGACATCGCTGAAAGAAGAAGAGAAGGGGAAGAGGAGCGAAGCGCAACATTTGAAAAACTGTCACTGCATTTCTCTTTCATTGGAAAATCTTCCATACAACCTTTAAAGCAGCGCCTCAGTGTTGTGCACATGGGTCTTATAAACACGTGCACGTGTGTTCAGGGCATAGAACGTACAAATGAGTGGACAGATCTAACGCTGTAGCTGTCGTGTGCCAAACAGGAAGTTCTCCAGGAGGCTCTTCCGGCTCCTTCTGACTCTGGCTCCAATTGACTCACATTAGGATCTTGTGGCTCCTCTCTCTGTAACTGCTGCTGTGAGCCTCGACATTTTGGTCTTAAAATGTCCATATTAACCCGCTCTACATGATCATGATTTTTTAATTTTTTTCACTATTTTGTCTGTCAAAAAAATCTTATTCATAACACAGAGTCTGGCTCCAGATTTGCTCCTGTAACTGTGAACATCGCGAGCTTCATTTGAGCGACACCGAACTCTGGTGACGTCACACTCACTTAGTCCACTTCTTTGATAGAGTCTGTGGTTCAGGGGCAGTACGGCGTCACAAACAGACAAATGACTCCGCAGGTAAGACACAGTATTTAATTATATTTGGGGAAAACATTTTTAGAGACATTTTGTAAATTTAAAGAGATTTGCCAAAAAAAAAGACTTAAAATTACTGTGTATGTGTCTGTGTCCGTTGTTTTTGTTGTAGTTCTTTTGCAAACACTGTACAAATGAAATTTATTTTTTTATTTATGTATATTTTTTTTTTTTTATGTATTAATTTGATTATTTGTTTTGTCTTATTATTTTTAAATACTGTATATTATATATGTTTTTATGTATTTTATTATTAGTTTAGATGTATTATGTACGTACGTTTTGTTTTTTGTTTTTTTGTATTTTGTTTATTTTTTATTTATTTATTTGATGATTTTAGTTATATTATTTTTAAATGCTGTATATTTGTTTTTTTTTGTTTTTTTTTATTATTAGTTTAGTTGTATTATGTATGTACTTTTTGTATTTATTTATTTCTTTTTTGATTTTCTTTTTTTTTTTTTTATTTGATGATTTGTTTAGTTTTATTATTTTTAAATGCTGTATATTTGTTTTTATGTTTTTTTATTATTAGTTTAGTTGTATTATGTATGTACTTTTTGTATTTATTTATTTATTTTTTGATTTTCTTTTTTTTTTTTTTTTTGATGATTTGTTTAGTTTTATTATTTTTAAATGCTGTATATTTGTTTTTATGTTTTTTTATTATTAGTTTAGTTGTATTATGTATGTACTTTTTGTATTTATTTATTTATTTTTTGATTTTCTTTTTTTTTTTTTTTGATGATTTGTTTAGTTTTATTATTTTTAAATGCTGTATATTTGTTTTTATGTTTTTTTATTATTAGTTTAGTTGTATTATGTATGTACTTTTTGTATTTATTTATTTATTTTTTGATTTTCTTTTTTTTTATTTGATGATTTGTTTAGTTTTATTATTTTTAAATGCTGTATATTTGTTTTTATGTTTTTTTATTATTAGTTTAGTTGTATTATGTATGTACTTTTTGTATTTATTTATTTATTTTTTGATTTTCTTTTTTTTTTTTTTTTGATGATTTGTTTAGTTTTATTATTTTTAAATGCTGTATATTTGTTTTTATGTATTTTATTATTAGTTTTGTTGTCTCGTGTATGTATTTTTTTATTTTATTTTATTTCTTTTTCATTCTATATTCATTTCTTTTTGGTCTTATTTACTCCCCGTGTTGTTGTGGCTGTTTGTGTGAACCCTTTGAATCCCTTGAAGGACCAGCTGTGTCTTTTTCAGAGGAGAGAGGGAGGAAAGACGAGTGATGGAGAGAAAGAGGAGGAGGAGGACGAAGAGGAGGAGGAGGGGGGGGGGGGTCTT